AGAGATAAAAAAAGCCAAATTAAATTATAAATCTTAACTATTTAATTAAATTTTATATTTTTAAACATTGAAATAAAAATTATGAAATTTCACGTGCACGCACGTGTTTCTTACTAGTAGTTTTAAAACGAACAAAAGCTTGAAAGGCATCAGATTTGGATGAAAGAAAATAGATCCAAGTGTAACGAGAGTACATATCCACAAAACTAATATAATACCTAAAGCCATTACGAGAGAGCTTAGAGGTAGGACCCTATAGATCAGAAACTATCATTTGTAATGGAGCAGTGTATTCAGTAAGTGAAGAAGAGAAAGGGAGAGCATGCATTTTACACAAGCATGACAAAAATTGAAATTTACATTAGAAGATAAAAATGGTTTAAACAATTTCACAACTTGTTAATTTAACAATAGGAAGAGCAGGATGTCCAAGTCTCCTATACCACAAGTCAATGGGAGAAAGAGATACAACAGAAACTAAGGAATTTATTGAAGGAACAACAGAAGCAGTAGTAGTTAAAGCCTGAGAAGCCAAGCCTCCATTTGACAAACTGGTAGAAGAAGAAGGAGAAAGGTTGAACATGTATAACCCGTCATGTAGAGTCCCTTGAAGTAGCACATTGCCAATGAGTTGGTCCTTCACACAACAATAAAAGGGTGAAATTCAAAGAAGACAGAGTTATCTCTAGCAAATTGACTCACACTAATCAAGTTTCTGGTTATTGTAGGTACATGAAGAAGATTATTCAAGTGTAAGACTAGATTATTAAGGGCTGTAAGAGAAGAATAACCAAAATGTATAATAGGCAAACCTGCACCATTCCCTACTTGCACCTGATTACCACCAAGATATTCAGTACCAACTGATAAATTGTTAAAAGTATGAGTCAAATGGTTCGTTGCACCAGAGTCGGGATAATCACAGTCATGATTAAAATATGGTGCTGTGAACATATCTGACATGGGAGGCATCTGAGGTGAAGGATTGCAAAATGCATTTGCTGGTCCCTGAGAAGAAAATGAAGTAGTGTTGGAATTAGGACCCTAAAATCGAGGGTCAAATCGAGAGTAGCACTTCAAGGCAGTATGCCCAGACTTTCCACATAATTGACATTGTATCCTTCGATTATTCCAGTTCTTGCCTCCACGATTATTGTTCCGTCTTCTTCCTTTATTATTATTATAACCTTGAATATTTTGATATGAGGATGAATGTCGCTGGTTTTCATTTTTCTTTCCAGTAGGAATATTGTGTGTTAACACATTTGTAGAGGGATGTGTACCATCTGAGTTAATTGCTTTCAATTTATTTTCGTTCCTATTTTCCTGTGATAGAAGCAAGGCCATAATTTCTGGAATAGATTGAGGACTAGTCTTAGTTGTAATGGTAGAAACCATAGACTCAAAATCAGACCCGAGACTAGAGAGAAAATACATAAGGTGATCTTCTACAGAAACTTGTTTTCCAATAGAGGCTAGGGTATCAATACACTTTTTAATTTGCAAGAAGTATTCTTTCAGAGACGAACCTCCTTTCTGTATGTTTTGTAACTTTGACTTGATCTGCATGACTTGTGCAAGATTTCTTGAAGTAAAAATTTGTAATAAACAGGACCAAATTTCTTTAGCCTAATGAAAATTTAAATATCTTCAAATATGGATCCAAACAACCACGATGATATCAATTTATCTTGTCTTTTCCATTTAGTAAAGGCTTTCATAATATTGGAAGAATCTTCACTGACCTAAATTAATTTTGGAGGCTATATTTCTTCATGGATGTATGATTCTAAGCCATGGTCTTCAAGTACTGTCAGTCCTTGAAATTTCCAAAAGAGGAAAATATCATCATACAGTTTTACTGTGGAAATTTTATTTCCTGGATTCACAACCTGATTTGCTTGATTCGTACTCTCTCCCATAGAATCAATTTCTGTATTAGCCATAAAACTCTTCGAATTGGAAAATACAGAACGAATGAAGAGAAATAAATAAAAATAATAAGCTTAGTCGCTTAGACTTAAGCTCTGATACCAAGATAAAACTCTCAAATTAACACGATATTACAGGAGAAAAGCTATATCTTCATTTCATCGGAGATTATTTTAAATTACAAATGAAGTGATATATATAGCTATAAAGACTCCTGTATTCACACTAGAACAACAAGTAGAGGAAAATGGTTAAAAAACCACTATTAACCAACAAGTTACAACCCACTTAATCAGAATAATAACTGTATACTATCCACATGGATAGACATCTGAAGAAGTCTTTAATGTGCTGTCTTGACAACCTAACCTAGTTGACCGAAGATCTCACTTAGTCAGATAGGTTCAAGAGCCAAAATGGCTGGATAATTCATAGTTGACACACTAAGAAACTTATAGTTTCTTCCCATTTCTATGATGTTACGTGTGTGATTTGTGTTGATGTTAAGGTCATATTGATATCTTGATTACAAGAGGGGTAGTGACAGAATACTCTTAATCAATATCACCTATGTGAGATTAGAATTGGGTCGGTTCTATGAGAACTTTTCAAACGACTTATGTTCTCTAAAGCTTTCATGAATTCAGGATCTTATCCAGAACCAAAATGAATACAACTGTATAGAACTCAAAGATACAATATAAGTTATGTGTGATATTTGTTGTCTCAATTTATCATGAGAAAGATAGTTCCAGAACTAGCTCTCACTATTTATTCGATAAATTCGATAGATATTCACTAAGGAAGATTCAAGTTCAAAAGACACCTCTTCTGATGCATAATTTATCTATTTGCTCTCAACGTCTTGGTTTTTGTTTTGCCCATCTCATTAATATGTGAAAGAAAGTGGAAAAATCGTTGAGTATACGAATTTAACATCCGGAAATTGAATTCGTGTATTAAGAATTTGAAATTTATTTTATATTTAGTAAGTTTTAATTCACATATACGTTGTGAATTTTGTTTCATTTTGTTTATTTATTTCTTTAGTGGTTATGTTTCTTCATTTTATTAAAATTGAAGTTATATGTTTAAATAAGGAGTGTTTTCCTTTATTTTGTTAAAGTTACAAAGTTACACAAGAGTTCTCTCTTCTTTTAAGTTAAAGACACTTGCGAGATGTTACTTGTTTTGAACAACTATATATAGTTGTAGTTTTCCTCATTTGATAAATCAAACATTTCTCATTTGAGTTCCTCCTCCTTTCACAAGAATTCTCTCTTCTTTTGTGGTGTTGTTCTTGTTTGTGTTGAGAGCAAGTGTCTAAAATTTCTGCTACATCCGAGTAGTTGGAGATTGCAGTTCTATCAGAGTTAGTCGTTGTATCCTACTGAGACGATCGCTGTAGTCTTCTAACAACTTGTGCAGAGCGAATAATTGTCTTCAGGTCAGCGTTATTGTAGCGTGACTCGACTATATTTCATAAAGTTTTGTTTTCATCAAGTTGTCAAGATCTATAATTGTTTGTAACCAATTATGTTGTAACTTGTTGCGAGTGTTATTCAGTTTACATATACAGCGTATATTTACCACACAAAAATCTCATGAAGAGAAGAAAACTTAAGACTTAGGTTATTTTCTTAGCAATTTGGAGGAACTAAAAACTTTTCATCTTAAATGACATTTTTCCTCCTCTAAGTTTATGCCAATTCACTAACGTTTTTTTTTAGAAAGAAAAAATTACAACTTAAATGAATCCAAGTTCATTTTTAACTAAATTTTCTACCCAAATAGGAATATTGGGACCCCACTCTTCCATTAAATCCTCTTCCAACGTCCTTTTGCTAAACCAGGGGCTATGCGGTTTGACTCCCTCCTGATGTGATTCATCGAGATTACTTCGTTGGCCCCTCCGATTTTTTGAGCTTCTTCCACAATCCATATGATTTTTGTAAGATCTTGTATCTCTCCATTTAATAAATGAATTGCTTCGAGAGAGTCAGACTCTAGGTAAACAGGATAACAATTTCCATCTTGAATAGCTTGCATGCTCTCACGAATAGCCAATGTTTCCAGGTAAGTGCCTTACACCCTGCTTTGATAATCTCCCCTCTCTCATTTCTTGTCAATTGCTATTTGATTACTTTTGCTATTTGGTTGTTCTCCTCTGAAAATAGCTCCATTTCTCCTCTCCCATATTTGCCCCACAATTATCATACACTTCTCACAATCTGTTTCACTCGCCTTCATAAATAACCACTCGCCTTCGACACAAACAAAATTTACTTCAATAGAAATATAATTTGCCCAAACTTGTTTTGATACCTTACAATCCCACAAAATGTGTTGTGTAATTTCCTCCTTTTTCGTGCAAAAAGAACAAACTTATGTGTAGTGCCAATTCACTAGGTATTATATTATATAAATTTATTATATGATATAATACTTATTTGAGATTTCATTTTTTTCTCCTCTAATCTTATGTTTTTTGTTTGTCTCGCTTCCCCTCCCTCTCTCATCCACCAATCCTATACAATCCAAAAAATATATGAGTTGAGTTGCAAAATACCCTGAGTTCCATCAGGCCCATGAACTGAATAATCCAAAAATTTGAATTGGTCCAAAAAAATCTCCTAAATCCGATCCAACTACCAACCTAACTTGTGAACAATTTAACAATTTACTAAGTTTTATATCACATAAATTTATCATCAATTCTCCTCAAAAACGTCATCAACTAATTTTAACATTTATAAATTTAAAACATATATTTACAATTATAATTTAGTCTAAAAAACAAAAAGTGAATTATATTTTTAAAAAGAAATTGAGAAAAGTAAAAAGTTGAGCCAATCCCAATCCCGGTATGCCCTAGCCATCCATTAAATCCATCCAATTCTTTCTTCGGTGGGTCCCACTTTCTCTTTTCCACGTGGCATAATTTAACGCTTTTTTCCACCCCTTCGTCTTTTTTTCCATTTCCATATATATTTTTTTTCAATATTAGAAGGAAAAAAAAAAAGAAAGTAAGACAAAGAACTGGTAATAAAAAAATAAAATAAAATAAAGCTTCTCAAAATATGAAAACTATTACCGCATAATTCGAATCGAACCAGACGACGAACACGAACAGGCGATCAAAATCAAAATTCCTTTCGCTCTCTCTAAATTCTTCCTCTTACGGAGCTTCCTCCAAGTATTCCTCCTTCTTCAATTGGATTCAGGTATGATCCGAACGCTCTATTTTCACGGAATCCATGTTTACAATTTTTGCCTCTTCTTCTTCTCTTGATTCTGTCTCCGCCTCCTCTCTTTCAGCGCCACTTGTTTCATGATTTCTACTGTTCTTTGCTGGTTTATAACTGTGTTAGGGTTTTTCCCTCCCTGTATTTACTTTTGTGGTTGTTGGCGGTCATTGCGGTGGAATTTTTGCCCAAACGGTGCGATCTCGGGGTTGTAACCTCCATATTAGAGTATTCTGTTGACACTGGAAGTTTTCCTTGTTCGTTAATCGTTGTTCTTGTTTATTTTTTCAGCTTCATGTTATGTTCGTTTCTGTTTAATTGCGTAGTTGTATTTTTGTTGCGATCATTTTTGGGGAGGGTAATTGTTAGACACTGGCAGGATGTTTATGCATGCACAATTTACCACAACTTTTGTGCCTAACCGTTGAAGGCCGAGGGCCAATGTTAAAAAACTTGTATATTACATGTCCAAATCAGTATTTGATAGGATCAGGTGGTGAACCAGAATAACAGGGTATGGTGTGACTTGGTGTCTTGAGAGCCTTGTGGTATGGCACTTGTCGCTAGGGTTAAGCTTATTTTGAATGGTTGTTATGGAGACCGGAACTCAATGATTTCATTTTATTGGTTTGCGTTGTTGGAATGAATTGTGTCCGTCGAGGCAGCTACTCCTGTGAATTGTCTTTTCTAGATAAATTTTTAACCAAACTATGCGTTTTTTTCTTGACTTAGGCTCTATTTTCTTTGTTATCTCTAAGGTTTTGTTGTGTCAGTATAGTCCACAATACATGTAGTTATTTTATTTTAACATAAGCCAGCAAACCATTCCCCTGTTACAAGAAAATAGACTCCAAGAATATTTCTCATGGTTGTAACTTAGTTTTTTCTCCCTACATGGATGTCATCTAGTGATATGTATTTCCGTTATTTTGTCAAAATATTGGGGAAGTGTTGAAATGAGAAAAATAGAAATGATTGGCTAAGGAGCTATGCAAGAAAATTTACATGTAAAGTATATCTAGATTCTGTATGATATTCCACATAGGACAAGCATTTTTTCATTCTCAAAAGGATGATATATTTTTCTGATTATTTAATTTTTATCCTAAAATGAATTCCTTCGATATGTCTTTTCTACAGTATTCCTGTTGAGGAGTGAAGTGAAGAATATGTTGAATTGCATGCCATGATAGATTTGTTCTTTCGTCTTACAACTACTTATTTTAGATTTTTTGACATGAACCTTGATTATATTTTTACTTCTGCGGTGATAACTTTATTGTCATCTGGAAGTTATTTGGTGTCGTCTCAAGTTGTATTTGGTGCACTGAACTGTCTGCTTAAGTCCCATCCTATCCATCTCAAGTATTTTTTATTCTTCAGAACCGTAGCGGAGGAACAGTGCCAGACAGTCTTTAGAAGTTGGCATATTTTGGACCCAAGAATGTCTAGTGGATCTATGAGAAGAGTCTCACGCCAAGATATTCAATTGGTAAGCTGATGTTGTTTTTGGTCCATCACTTATCTTTTCTCTCCCTCTTTCTCTCATATTTTTGGCATCAAAGTTATCAGTGGTATGGCAATGTCTAATGAAAATAGATAAAGCTAAAGTTGGTCTTGGTTGCTCCATTTCTTTTAGGCTCTTATTTATGATAAAAGAAACCATTCTGCTGCAATGTTTGGCAGAATCGTTATACAGGACACTTTTTTCTTTGACCCTCCAACTTTCTTTTTTATGAAACAATGGTGTGCTACATTATTTCCTTTCTGTCCAATGCTAGGTGCAAAATCTTATAGAACGATGCCTTCAGCTGTACATGAACCAAAAGGAAGTTGTGGAAACACTACTAAACCAAGCAAAAATTGAACCGGGTTTTACAGAACTTGGTAAGTGGTAACAATAAGTTCATAATTCTTGCTGCCTTTCTCCACCTTTGCATATGTGTTTGATGTATGGTGATTTAATGATAGATCAAAATAATCCCTAGTTTTTTTGCTCGGTAGCTTACTCAGGCAGTTCAGATTTATCATTTATATATGAACACATCAATTGGTCCACTTATGGTTAATTATTGTGTATTTTTCTAGGAGTCCATAGAATAAAAACTTCTACCACTTTTTTGTTTGTATGTTAATGTATCAAACTGCCCACTCTAAAGTGTTGGTTACTTTATAGTTGTCACAATGTATCTAACATGTAAATCTGATCTCTAGAAGTTGAATATCCTCATATCAGTGAGTAGTCTAGATGCTAGGTGATTTAATTAGTTTTGGCATGAAATTACAATTCAAATAGCAGGAATACGACATATTGAGCAGAGTGTCAATGTTAGAGATTCTCTCAGACATATTTAACTTGTGATCTAGGGTGTGTGATATTTATAATTTTAATTTGGGATACATTGGAACATACAAGAAAAATGTGGGGAACAAGTTGTGACACAATCAGGATGTGCAGGGTCATATTAAGCATTTTCTGCATGTTTTTTATTTGTACCCCAGCTGTGTTTCTGTCCTTATATTTATTAAAAATGGTAGTCTGTTGTTTTTTTTTGCATGCGTGTCTTTCCTGAGCTTTTAGTACTTTGATATAGATTAGTGCCTATGAGTACATGGTACCTAAAGGTTTTTCTGGTTGATGCTATCATTCTGGAAAACATCTACTGAACAGGAAGTTTGGATAGATGATCAACATAGCTTTAATGGGCTGTTTGATTATAAACATCAGGTATCTCATTCATGAGTTCTAACAATAAATCCGAGATTAGCGTCAACATTAATTTTAGAGCATCTTTAATCCAAAAATCTACTTAGATTTTCTGTGCTCATGAAGCTAGGTACAACATCTTGATGGCTTATGATATTGTGAGAAGTGGAGTAGGCTCGTGAATCATGATGATTTATTACATATGTTGTTTTCACTCATATTACCCTTTTTTGGAGTTTTTACGTCTCTTGAAATTTTGAGAATTTTCAATGAGAAGATTATACACCAGGATTTTTCTTTTCTTTTTTTTTCCTTCTTGAGAGCAACAAATTGAGGGCATGGGGTTTGAACCTCCAACCTCAAGGGAAGGAGTAGGTGCCAATTACTGTTGAGCTATACCCATATTGGCGAGATTATACATCAGAATTAATAATCATAATACTGCATTCCTGGTTTCTTTGTAATAGAAACATGATCCTAATGATAATGTGCCAAAAAATTTGTTAGTTTAATGTAATATTGACTTTGTGACAACTTTCTGATATCCTGTGGTAGATATTCTTATTGTCTTACGGCAATTTAATGTATTTCTTGCGCTCTAGTTTGGCAAAAACTTGAAGAAGAGAATCGTGAATTCTTCAGGGAGTATTATCTGAGATTAACGGTGAAGCATCAGATAGTTGAATTCAACAGGTTGCTAGAGCAACAAGTTCGGATGATGCAAATACAGGAAACTGGAGTTACTCCCCTGCCTATCTCCAATGGATCGCTTGTCCAACAAAGTGAGGCTGCTACGTAAATTTGCTTTGTTTGCCTTTTTCTTTATTTCTTTTCTTAAGCTTCTAGTGGTTTTCATCTGAAAATTTATTGTGCACGTAATTGATTATCATTTTGATTGCACATCACTGTTTTTTTCTAAAAGAAGATCAATAAATGGTGTGATTTTTCTCGTCTACTTTATCCAATGAAAAATAGTTGGTGTCAAGTTGAAACTGAAGAAATGACGAGAATAATTGATTACCCATCTTTATGTCATGATATTCTTGTGCTTTCTTCTCTGGTCCCTAAATTCTGGGGTTCAGGTAGTTGGTGTCAGGTTGAAGTGGAAAAGTGCTCTTTTGTTTTTCTATCCAATTCAGATATAAGACAAATCAGATAAAGGAAAAGAAGGGCACAATTTGTTTGTCACCGGCAAAAATAAGCACTATTTCTGCTGTCTTTAAAAGGATTGGTCGCAGAAATATAGTTTTGTTGTTGTTACTACAAAGCACCTCTATTTTATCAAGTTGTGATATTTAGTTGAGGTTCTATACTTTCATTAATAGCAAATATTCGTATACATTAGGATATGCCCAATCCATTAGAGATAAGATGTGTATTTACTCTGACTAAAGAGAAGATGTTTTATATTCAACTCCTTGTCATTGTCAAACAAAATGGTATGCATGAGATGGACATTTTAATTAGGAAGCTTGACAGTTGAAGGTAAAGACAACTATGTATCAAACATAGTGGTATACACATAACCTGAAGACATTATTATTTATTTAGGGAGGTCTGGGTTTCGGCTTTTGAAATTGGCTGAATGATGATTTTAGGTGAATTAACTTTTTGACTGATTCTAGTTTCTCATTTATCATGAATGTTCCTCTAGTAGTTATTTAATCTATCAGGCCCTTTATCAGGATTAACTTCAATAGTTGACCACCATCTTTGAACAGTGCACCAGAATCCAACATATACGGTATCTTCGTTGAAGCAAAATAATGTGCAGCATCCTTTTGGCAACAGCATGCCCAATCCATTTCCCAATGGTGCTGTGTCTTTGCACTCGAGAATGCATACGACAGTTGACATGTCTGCTCATGCAAGTAGGATTGAAGCACCATCATCCATACTTCCAACCCAAAGCTCAAATGTAGAGTTGAATGGTAGGACAATAAAATCAGAATCTGGATATTCAGGCAGTTCCTCTTACATGTATGGGGGTGCCGATGGCAATGTGGTGGAAGCACGCCAAACAATAGGAGATGTATCGGTGGCACCTTTCTCTGGCATGGAGTCCAATGCACAACCCTTGAATGAACCACTCCTCGAACCAGACACCTCCTCGTTTGGATTTCTCGGTCAGATTCCTAGGAACTTCAGCCTATCGGATCTAACAGCTGACTTTTCCCAGAGTTCAGGTCTGTGCTGTTTTCTCTCTGTTCTTGTTTGAAAGTTAGCAGTTGTATGTTCAAAAATTCTTTTTAAAATGCTTTGATATATTAGTTATATAGGACAATGAATTAAGAGGGTAAAAATTATAACAAATTTTAAAAATCTGGTGTAATGGTGAATTGAGCTTTAAGTGTCGGTTCCTTTATTACTGCTTGATACCAATATCTTGTATGATGTATCAGATATACTGGAGAGTTATGCTAGATCTCCTTTTCTCGCTACAGAAACTGAGAACTTTATGGATATTCGTGCAAGAGAACACCAAGGTGAAAATTTATTGTGACTATCACCAAATCCTTAAAATTTCACTAAAAGGATTCTACTGACTCCATTTTCTTGCATGTTTAGGAGACAATAAAAGGTCGTTGGATACCATATCAGAAGGCTTGAGTTATGAGGACTTTGGTAGTGACTCATGAGAAATGAGTACTCGGTTTAGTAAGTTTAAGGTACGCTTTTATATTTTTTATAAGCAACCATGCTTTCATTGAGATAAAATGAAAGAATAAACAAAAGGCATGTAGAAGACAAGCTCGACAACCAACCCATAAGAGGGGGGCAATCTAATAATTACAAAAATCCTTGGAGACCAACACCCAGGAGGAGGAATTAAATCTAATAAGTTTTCAAGGCCTTCATTAAAAATTCTGTTATTCCTCTCAAACCAAACACCCGAACGAAGTAGCCAAAAAAAAATGACCTGTCAGTGTCACGTACAAGGGGAAAAAAGCAACACCTCCACTTAAGAGCCAAAGAAATTAGAAAACCCTCCAAGAAACAATTCCAGATAGACCTTTTTTAATCCCATCTGATCTCTGAAATTCTGCACTTTTTTTTTTCTTTTTCTTTATTTTT